GACCAGCTATAATTTCAATGGGCGTGAATTTAGAGTTAAAGAAAACATGTCATGCGATACAAAAAATGTCATTTATGTCATCACATGTCCTGGATGCAAGGAATATTATATTGGTGAAACCGGCAACACTCTCCGTGCCCGTGTACGTGTACATAAGCAACACATTAGTACACCCGAATACAGACAAATTCAATTAAGTTCGCACCTGGAAGCGTGTGGTAAAAAACAATTCAAAATTTTCCCTTTCTATAAACTCAGTTGTGCCACTGATATCCAGAGACGGGAAAAAGAAAAACATTTTATTAGTATTTTTCAGCCGAAACTTAATAGTGTTTTATAAATTACTTGTGATTTCCTCTTACTTTTGTCATATAGTATCTATGACGTCATAATAGACATTAAATGTTCCGCTTAACATGACGTCATAATCACTGTTACTATGATACTATTGTAAGCTTCTGAAGATTGAAAAATGAAAGCGCTAAAGCTTAACTGAGGATTTTTGTGTTTTCTTTTTTACCTTTTTTTAAATATACACATATATATATATATATATATATATATATATATATATATATATATATATATATATATATATATATATATATATATATAAATATATTTATTATATGATTGAATAGTTTTCTTCTCTCTGATTGGCTGAGATCCAACTATGTTAGAAAAATACTACGTTGTATTGACCTGCACGTGACGTTCCAGGTCAATACAAGGATTTATTTCCTCTACATTGATCTAAAAATAGATCGGGATATTCCAAATTGATACAAATTGAATTTGGAAAGCTATTTAAACTACTATAACTTTTTTTCATGTGAAGATAAGTTAAGCGAATATATATTTTCGGGTGAGGGTGATAAGAGGGGATGCATGGACACTCCTCCAACACTTTTATTGAAAAACAATTTTTACTTTTGGGCAGTCAGTTTTCCCTGATAACACTCCTTCTTTCAAAATCTATCCTATAAAAAAAACTGACATATTTTTTTCATGGCAACTAAAATTGATTTAAAAAAAAACTTAACAAAAAAAATAAATACGACCTGTAAGGTTTATTAACATTTTAATTCTGCTTCTCTCTTAATTGTATTTGGATAGGACTTAATCAAATGCAAACAAGTAATGGGTTTTATCATTTTATTAGTGAATCATATAATAAAACAATTATTGCTGTTTTTTTCGGTCAATACAATGATTTAGCCATCTTCGAAGTACAATATTCACCTCGCCCTCCGGGCTCGGTGAATATTGTACTCCTCAGATGGCTAAATCATTGTATTGACCTCAAAACACAGCAATAATTGTATAATATATATATATATATATATATATATATATATATATATATATATATATATATATATATATATATATATATATATATATATATATCGCATGGTTAGGAAATTATGAAGCAACGTATGGCACAGAACAAACAAAACAGAAACGCGTTGCAAGCAATAAACCAAGGAAACCTCAAACGCAGAATAACAATCAACAAGCCAGAAGTCTTCCTACATTCAAATCTAAAGGTAAAACAATGAAGCAAAATCCCTCATATGCTGAGATGGTGAAGAAAGGAATTAAGCAGAAAAGTAATGGTCCTGCCAAACACCAACCAGCAAATCCTAAATTCCACCAATCAAATGTTCAATTTCAAAACCAAATTTTTTTAAATATACATATATATATATATATATATATATATATATATATATATATATATATATATATATATATATATATATATCGCATGGTTAGGAAATTATGAAGCAACGTATGGCACAGAACAAACAAAACAGAAACGCGTTGCAAGCAATAAACCAAGGAAACCTCAAACGCAGAATAACAATCAACAAGCCAGAAGTCTTCCTACATTCAAATCTAAAGGTAAAACAATGAAGCAAAATCCCTCATATGCTGAGATGGTGAAGAAAGGAATTAAGAAGAAAAGTAATGGTCCTGCAAAACACCAACCAGCAAATCCCAAATTCCACCAATCAAATGTTCAACTTCAAAACCAAGGACAACATCAAAATCAAAGCGAGACGTGGAATAAAAAACCAAAATACCAACACAATGTCAATTACAACAAACAAAACTATAATCTTGACAGGGATCATTTTTTAGGACAGGGACAGCGTCAAAAGAAACGCAAGAAACCGGAAGTATTCCACAGGAACAAGAAATGGATGAATCAAAACAACCTGGACCTAAGATAATCAATTTATCCCAAAGGGACCTAACAAGTGAAGAGATAAAAATTTTGGAACGTGGCTTAAAGTTTACGCCGACCCCTAAAAAAGATGATGTTGACATAAAAAAGGACACGGAGGAATTTTGCCGAAAACTGCGTTTGAGAGAATTTTTTCAAAATGAAACAGACGACGACGAATCTTTAGTTAGAAATAAAAAAGGTTTTAAACCGCCACCAAATAGAAATAAACATCTTGAAGATTACATAATGTGTCTTAAAAATTCAGCGGATACTAATTTAGCGGAAACCAATGTGAAATCAAACATTTCAAGAAAGGAACAGAATGCTTTAAAAGATTTGAGTGAGGATTCGTCCATCATTATTAAAGAAGCGGACAAAGGAGGTGCAATAGTTATAATGGATAGAGACCATTACAAGGAAATGGTAAGGAGTCAACTTCAAGATGATCAGTTTTATAAAAAACTTGACCAAAATGGAGACCGCCAAACAATGCGTAGAATTGAACGACTTACGAAAAAATTTGCTGGTGAGTTTACTAAGAATGAAATAGATTATCTCACACATTTTGACGTTAAAACCAGCAATTTCTACGGTCTACCAAAAATTCACAAATCCAAGGAAATCCAGGAAAATATCAAAAGATGTGAAAATACATATATAAAAATTCCGAAACCCTCGGATTTAAAACTCCGTCCCATTATAGCAGGACCATCCTCATGTACACAAAGACTGAGCAATCTACTTGATTTGATTCTCAAACCATTGTGCAAAAAAGTACCCAGTTTCATCCGTGATGATTTGGATTTCCTTAATTACATTCCAGAGGAAGTACAACAAAACACGCTTCTTGTAAGTTTTGATGTAACCAGTCTTTACACCAACATCCCACATTACTTGGGACTTGAAGCTGTCAAATTTTGGATGGAAAAATATCCAACAGAAACGAATGAAAGATTCTCTAAAGAATTTATACTTGAAGCCCTTCAAGTAGTTTTAGAAAATAACCATTTTCATTTTGATGAGCAATTTTACCTTCAAATCAAGGGCACAGCTATGGGTACCAAAGTGGCCCCAACTTATGCCACTCTAGTTATGGGTTACTTGGAAGAAAAGCTATATAGTAAACTTCCGGAAATATTTGACGAAACTTTTGTACAATACATTCGCCAAAACTGGAAAAGGTACCTTGATGATATTTTTATCTTTTGGAATAAAACTGAAGACGATTTAGAAAAATTCCATACGGTACTAAATCAATTACAGGAATCAATTCAGTTCACAATGGAGATGAGTGACAGACAACTTCCATTTTTGGACCTCCTTCTAATTAAGGATGATACCAAAATTATTACAGACCTGTACTGCAAAGAAACAGATTCGCACCAATATTTGGATTTCTATTCATGTCACCCATCACATACTAAGCGTAATATTCCATACAATATGGCAAGACGTATATGCACAATAGTAACCGATACAACTTTACGCTTGAAAAGGTTAGAAGAATTTAAATCATATCTCCAAAAACAACATTATCCGGAGAATCTTATCAATGCCGGAATTGAAAAAGCAAAAAACATTCCTACTTCTGTACTAAGAAACACTCGCCGCAAGGATGATAGTGAAAAAAGCGACATCCCTTTTGTTGTGACGCACAATCCACGCAACCACAATATTTTAAGATCAGCCAGGAGATTTTTTCCCATTTTAGAACAATCTCAGAATCTAAAAGACATCATCAAGGAGTCTCAAATTATTAATAGCAGAAGACAGGCACCCAATCTGAAGAAAATCCTAACCAGAGCAAGATTTGCAACAACCAAAGACAAAGTCGTCAAAAAGTGCTGTGACCCACGTTGTGGAACATGTGAATATCTGGAGGAGGGAAGCGAAAAAACTTTAAAATGTGGTAAAAAATTAACACCAAACGCCAACATGACCTGTAAATCAGAAAATGTTATTTACTGCATAACCTGTCCGACCTGTGATGAAAACTACATAGGACAAACCGGCAAACTGAACGCACGAGTGCGAGTCCATAAACAACAAATTCGGGACCCTAGCGTAAGGAATACGCCGTGCAGTGAGCACTTTGCTACCTGTGGGAAAGGGAAATTTAAATTATTTCCATTTTATAAAATGCACAATGACTGTGAAATATCCAGAGTAGCAAAGGAGGACTACTTCATTAAACTATTTAACCCAAAACTTAACAGAAAATAATTACTTCAGTTTTAACTAAAGTTATTTTCTACTTGTTTTTTGGTTTATTTAAGTGATTGTAACGGTGCGAATTATAATGCTACCTTTTAACGTTATTATGACGTCACAATGGACAATACTTGACGTCGTGGTTATGAACGTTACTAAGCAATTTTATATTTAACTTTTAACTGTCTGAAGAGCCATTAGGCAGAAAGCGCTAACAGTAAAAATGATTTTCGAGATTTGTGATTTCTGACTTTTTTTCATTGGATATATATATATATATATATATATATATATATATATATATATATATATATATATATATATATATATATATATATATATACAATAACATGTATATATAGTCATATCAATACAAATGTACATGTACTAGCAAAAAAACATTTCACAATTTTATAAGAAAATTTATTTTTTTAAAAGACAAATGCAAAAGGGTAGATTTTGCCATTCACACAAGTACTAGTATTTAAGCAGCTCGAAGATATTCTTAATTTTGATGTCTTCCAAACGGACAGCCTATCACATGTTAACTTACCGTAACGTCACTGCATGATCCTGTACCTTCAGTAAAACCACTGCAGGGATTGAAGGAGTACAACTCGTTATTGGAACCGGGATTTGGCACGTCCTGAAAACTGAAAATATATTTGAGATATACAAACTGGTATACCTGCAGTTAGGCAGGCATGGCCACAGTTCTCATCCATTTCATACCAATGGGTATGTATTGGCAACCATATCTTTGAAAATGGGGGCTTTGAAGGAGTGCAGAAACTTAGATAAAAAGTCTTCCTGTCGTTTTCGAAAGCAGGAATGAGAGTCGCTAAATTAATATGTACATGTATGTAAACTGTGTCCTTTCCGAATATTTTGGAAGCCAGATTGGACTTTTTCAGGGTGAAATTTTATCCCCAATATTGTACTCTTTTTATGTAAACGATTTTGAAATGCATTTGTTAAACGAGAATTGCCGCTCAATTGAAATTAATTTAATTAATATGTTCCTTATTATGTATGCTGATGATACTGTTATATTAGCAGAAACACCTGAAGCGTTACAACAAATACTTGACTCTTTGCATAACTATTGCAAGATATGGAATCTAATTGTAAATGCAGATAAAACTAAAATAATAGTTTTTAGAAATGGAGGAAAAATAAAAGAAAATAAGAAGTGGTTTTACGACGAAAAAGAATTAGAAATAGTAAATGAGTTTAATTATCTCAGATTATTATTAAATTATAATGGTAAATTTACTAAAGCACAACAGAAACTTGCAGATCAAGGACGAAAAGCTCTTTTTAGCATTAACGCCTAGGTCACATTTAAGACGATGGTCGGGCGACTAAATTTGTCTGGTCTTGTCGGCTGAAAGAACAATGACTGTCATGATCGGCCGACACAGTATCGGGCGACACGGAGCAGTCACATTATTTCCTAGGGAATACCGATGACTTGGATAAATAACAAACTTTTTTCTTTAGAAATCGGCAATATTTTTTCATAGATGTATGTTCAGATAGGTGACACGAGTAATGGTTGTAAGGCAAAGTGGCTGAATCTTATAAAATTGTGACTCAATGTTGAAAATGTTTGTATTGAATTGTATTAAAAACGACAAATGGCGCATATCTAAGCAGCAAAGAATATTTCAGATTTCTTTATATCTTATGGAATAATTTATGTTATTTCCGTTCAAAAAATATATATCAATCCATGCATCAAATCTTTGTTTGTGTTATGTATCCTTATTAGGTTAAATATTCACAAGTCGGCCAATTGTCGCCCGATCATCGAGCTCTGAGCTACAGTTTGATTTTAAACGTCGGCCGAAATAATGAACACCTTTATTGTCGAACGACGGACTAGCGTCTTTATGAACTGACTCCCGATGTTCGGACGATGATCGAAGGTTGGTCGACGGATAACTTCAATTGAAGAATCGGCCACCGACGCAGAAAAAATTATAACTTGGACCGATGGACACAAAATTGGTCGGCCGACAATAAAAGAGGTTAAAATCGGGCAAGACAGCGGCCGATGAACTGCCGACTGTCACCCGAAGAATCCCATTTTTGCTTCAAAACCTGTCGGCCGTTGGTCGTTTTTGGAAATGTGACTTGGGTTTAATAGTAAACTAAATGATTACTATTTTAATGTTCAAACAAATTGCTTTGTATTCGATACCTATGTTAATAGTATACTTTTGTATGCTTCGGAAGTATGGGGGTTTTAACAAAGGAATTGATGTCGAAAAAGTCCATATTATGTTCTATAAAAAAAATTTAGGGTTAAAAAAGAATGCTAGCAACAAGCTTATTTATCATGAACTTGGTAGATTTCCTTGTCATATTATAAGGAAAATAAAAATTATGAAATAGCGGTTAAAGTTAAGAAAAACAGAAAATTGTATCCTTAAGACGTGTTATGAAGAAATGGTACAGGAAAATGACGAATGGGTTGTAAATATTAAAACAGAACTGAATAGATTTGGATTAAACTTTTTGATAGACACAAATTATGATGATAAATATGTTATAAAACTTATTGAACAGAGAATGAAAGATATTTACATTCAGGAATTAAGAGAAGATATTGGCAATATGCCAAAAGCTAATTTGTACAAACATTTTATAGATACACATTGCCTTCAGTCGCTGCATTTCATTTCCGGAAATATGCATAGCATTTCCGACATTTTTTTAATTTCATTTCCGACATTTTTTGTTTACATTTCCAACATTTTTTTTTTCATTTCCGGAATTTACCTGTGCAGCAATTCAATGTTTTTTAAGTAAAAGAAGATGGAATTTTTAAAGTATTTATACCAAAATATGAATAAAAAATAAAAAAAAAAAACATCTATGTATACATATTTATTCATTCATGTAGCACAAAGTCAAGGACGGTAATGCATAAAACTTTTCCCCCACATTTAATGTGCACTTAATTAAATGTCAGTGACAGCACCGAACTTATGTTCAAGTCACTGATAGATTTACAAAATTGGATTTCAATTATTTATTAATGATTTATTCCTTTAAATTATTCATAAGTAAAGTTATCAAACATTACTATAAGTACTACATATAAATTTGAAAAATGTCGGAAATGAAATCTAAAAAATGTCGGAAATGAAAACTAAAAAATGTCGGAAATGAAAAGTTGATAATTACCCAAATTTCCGGAAATGAAATGCAGCCGCCTTCAGTATTACCTTAACAAACCTTTAAATGCTAAAAATCGAGAAATAATTGCAAAGTTTGGGATGTCTGATCACAACTTATATATTGAAAGGGGTAGATACACGAATACCAATAGAAATGATAGAAAATGCATTTTATGTACTCTAAATGAAATAGAAGATGAATTTCATTTCATTTTACCATGTCCAACATATGAAAATTTAAGGAAGAAATATATTTAAAAATATTATTATCAAAACAGTACATGTAGTGTATTTTTAAAAATTAATACAATTACTTAGTGTTCAAAATGTAAGGGAATGAAGAGGTCTGGGGAACTTTTTAAGAGAAGCATATCATTTGCGGGAAAATAAAATAAACTGAGTCATATAATTGATTAATTATATGATATTACAATAATATGTATGCATAGATATGCACATTTATCAATGCTTGTGTAAATACATTGTAATATATGTTTACATGACAATTATGTATAAATATGTATATTATATGTTATCAATATGTTAATCTGATGTATCTGTTGATACAAGGAATAAAAGAATTGAATTGACATAAAACGCCGATGATTGCACTCAATAGGGATTCGCTGTACATGCTGTATGCAGATGATATGTAATAAAAACTTTTGAGACAAATTAAGAATGCTCGAGGGCGCTTTTGATCGACATTTGGCAGGAATCTGGGCGCGTTAAAAAAGAGAGAATTTCATTGATATATTACAGGAAATTTTATGTATATAGCATTCTTGTGATATATCGGGTTTCCTTGAAATATAAAAGGGAAGTAATTTCCCTCTATCGTATTTTGATTTACCAAAAATGAATATGAAAATTGGCTAGATAGTCATTTGGTTCAAAATGTTACAATTTTAAGTAGATTTTTAAAATATTCATTTGTTTTCTCCATATATATTAACCATGAATTAAAACGTTATTTGGGTGTATTTTAATTATACAATATACAATCAATCAATCGTAACTTTGGAACTTCGGTCAGCCGATCAATTTATTTTTTTTGTACACATTATTCCTACAGATCGCACGCCAAATACTACTGTCAATTATTTCATGTACATCTACATTTAAAAACAATCCAAGCAACTTACTTGAACAGCTGTTGAAATTTATTGTCCATTCCTAAAATTGGCGATTTCTCGAAATTTATACAAAAGAATTTTTTGACAGTTTCAACAATTTTCTGATTTGTCGAGAAAAATTCGTTAAAAAAGTCTGTTACCAGCTGAGTAATTCAAAGCCACGCCCTGAAATGTAGCAACAGTTAGTATTACTAGCAACAGTTAGTATTACTTGACAACGGGCGATATTCCATAAAATATTGACAAAATTTATGCGCGCCATGTTCACTGTAATAAGTATTTGTATAAAACATTTAGTATAATATAAAAAATATTGCTTGTAGTTGAGTGTAACATTGAAAATTTGCACCCCTCGAATACGGTTGTCAACCTCGGATGCGCCTCGGTTGACCATGGTTTTCTTGGGGTGAAATTTTTTCATTGTTACACTCACCTACATGTACATGCAATATTTTTAAAATGTACATTTATTTATAAGTAAATAATATTATGTCCCTACTATGGAGTCTGATCATTTCTGGATACAGAAGTTAGATCCACCACAAATCCGTCGTCCATCTTACAAGAACAAGGACTGACTTTTTTTCACAGGATTTTCCCATAACATCATTTAGAATTAATTCAGTTGAAATGAAAAGACTGAAGATAATCCTGGCCCAAAAGTCCGCCATGATTAAAGTGATAGTGTTGAAGTATTCACTGTCTGATAAAACTGAAATGATTTTTTTTTTATCATGATTAACAGGGTAAACTAATAAGCACTGATAAAGTATATATTTT